GCCCTGCTCCCAGAGATTCCAGGGGCTCCAGGGGCCCGCCACTGATGCCTACGTTTTCTCTGCGCCTTCGCGGAGACCCCCCTTCTCCGGAAACCCTTTCCGGGCACACGACCGGCCCCAGGCCCGCCGGGTCCCTAGTAGAAGCATTTGGAGAGGCAAGGCCGTGCGTCCTGGAGAGCCCGGAGGGGACGGGCCAGCACGGAGCGGGGCTGGAGGGAGACTGGCAGCCCCGGGCAGAGGGAGGGAAAGGGGACCCTCATTTCTGGTGGGGTTCAGTGCAGCCCACTTGGGCACCCGCTGCCTGAGACCTTGCTGAGGATTAGCCCCTGGACCTGCCCAGCACCCCCCCACCACCACCACCACAGGGGGGGCAGGCAGTCAGACCAGCCACTGTGGGGTGTCTCCGGTGGACCAGGGAGAGGGGAGTTGGTGTCTGGAGCCAGGAGGCAGCAACTGAGCAAACACCCTGCGCTCTTCATGCATCGTGCCCAGGAGCCCTGGAGATGCTTCTGCGGACCTGACAAGCTCAGGGCCGGCCACTAGGTTGGCCTTGCAAACGCAGAGACTTAAAGTAACCACAAAGGAGGGTCTGAAATGAAAACAGTTTAATCTAAACGCAGTTCATGGCAGGTAGTCATGTCCTCAGGCAGTATTTTTCCTTAACAAAGGTGAATTTTCACCTTAACAAGCCTGTCCTCTCTAGTCCTTTGCCTCTGAGATAACATACCTGATTAACATGCCTTTGCAAAAACAAAGTAATGTCCCTTTTTCCGACCCCTCAAAGCAGGGGGCGGAGACCTCAAATCCCCTCGTTGTTGTTGGCATCATGTTCATTGTTGACTGTTTACGACGCTGCACCCACCTACGTAAAAGAAGTGTGGCTATCGTTTTACTTTCTATCCAACCCCGAGGTCAGCCCCCCCTTGCTTTCTCCCACCTCCCTAATCTTTCACCCATGGATTTCTTGTAACCCACTTACCCTCCCTTTTGATTGCAATGCATAAAACACGGTGCAAAACTACCGTTCCCCAGGGTGTTATCTCAGTCTGCCGAGACTTTGCTTCAAAACAGCTGGGCTCAAATAAACTCACAACAATTCTTCACAGGCTTGAAGGTTTCTTATGTTAACACATCCAAGGAAACATTTAAGCAGCACGGCTTAGCATAGTGTGAGCCCCAACGCCAGACAGACACGTGTATCTGTCCCACTTCCCCGCGACAGCACCTTGAGCAAAGCCTCTCCTTCTCTTTTGCTGTCAGTTTCTTCACCTATAAAAACTAAATCTGGGTAATAGTTCCCATCCTGCCCACCTGGACGCCTTGATGAGGAAATGGTGAAAAAACTACACCCTTGAGCTGCACGTCCAGGTTAAGAACACAAAAGCCCTTGTCTGTTGAAGCAGGTAGATCCCCGTGGTCCCCCGGCCCTGGCCCTCCTAGGGAATTAAGCTCCAAACTGTGAGAGTGTGTGTGTCCAAGTGTGTACACGTGCTCACGGCTGTACCCCCAGCGCCGGGACGAGCTGGCATCTGCTCGGTAAATGTTTGCTTAAAGAAAGAACAGACGCCGAATGCCTCTGGTCGCTTCTCTCCCCACACAGCCCTGAGGGCCTCCATGCCTGGCCTTGCCTGGTTCCTTGCTGACCGGGTGCCTGTTGGATCAGCAGGTTTTCTGTAAAATGCTGAGGGAATGAATGACCAGTCGGTGTCTCCTTTTGACTGGGGACTGGATGTAACGATCTTTCTACACACTGTCCCAGAGGAAAGCCCTGCCCATCCGTGGAAGAATAGGCATTAAGACAGGATTCTTGCCGGGTGGGGTCTGGCTCAGCCGTTGAGCATCTAGCTGGGATCCAGGAGGTCACTGTTGGATTCCCGGTGGGGACATGCAGGGGTTGTGCGCTCCATCCCCAGTAGCGGGTGTGCAAGAGGCAGCAGATCAATGACTCATTGATGTTTCTCTCTCTCTCCCTCTCCCTTCCTCTCTCTGAAATCAATAAAGATATATATGTGTGTGTATATATACATGTATGTATACACATATATACATACATATATATAGATATATATAGATAGATATGTATATAAAACAGGATGCTTCAGAACAAGTTCAGAGGGAGTGGTGGACTGTGCCCACCGGGCCACCCAAGGGTGGCCAACGGGGAGACGTTAGAGGCAAGGCTGGAGTCCGACCTGCGCTCAGAGTTACTGAGGTCACCAGGCTAAACGCTTGGCACCTCGTAAGCGCTCAATAAACTTATCCGAGCAACGCCCTCCCGCGCTGCTGGGGACCCCTCCTCCGCTGAAGCCCAGCGGCCCAGGGAGAACCAAGAGTCCGCCCAAAGGCTCCCCCTGGACACGCGCGCCTCGGCCGGGCATGCTCAGTGCACCGGCGGGGCTGGGGCGGGGGCGGCTCCAAGTTTTGGGCGGAAGGTCCCGGCTCCTCCCTCCGCCGGGGCCGCGCGGGGAGCGGGGGAGGCGGC